CGGTTTAAGGTAAAAAAAACACATAATTTTCCACATACTGTACATTATTGTTTCTCCTCTATGCCCCGCCTTTCTGAAACGCGTCGATTTTTACAAAGCTCATCGGTCTGAAAAAGCGAGGTGTGCTGTGAAAGCCGATCCGGTGATCCACAGCACAAAGTTTATGTATTTCTTCAGCGACCAGCACGGATCAGCTCTAGGCATGACGAAGCGGATATCGTAGATCTTCTTTATGCACCAAGAGCTTGTAACACTCCAAAGAGAAAGGAAACATTTAAATCGCATCATATGACCCCTTTAAAGAACTTGAACTTTTCTGTTTTGCAAATGTTTTTTTTTTTTTTGATTGACCTTAAGAAATATTCTAATATTTTGAGATACTGGATTTTTGACTTTCATGAGCTATATATATACATTTATTCAGCTTTATCTCAATTACCAAATACTAATTTTAATAATTTCAGTTTTAGTTAACAATAATAAACACTGGTTGGTCTACTACATCAGCCATTCATATTTTATTTCTGTCCTTGGCAAAACTGGCTCATTCATTTAATTTTTGATTGTTCTGAATCGTTTCTTCTAAGCAAATCACGTTGTTTGGATGGTTAATTTTCAGAGAGCTAATATAAAATATAATATTTGAGTAATCGGTCAACAGTATTCCCAGAATTTTTTTAGCAAAATATTTTTGTTAAATGTTATTTACTCAGTGATATACATTACTTAACTGTATTTAATGTGAATTTATGTTCAAATTAAATGCTTTTATTATGAAGATTTTGTATTATGTTTGTTACACAATGTTATGGTGCCAAAGTTGTTTATCGAAAAAAAAGTAGACAAAAAGTCCTTTGAATAAAACATCAGTATTTATTTATATGACAGTTTTCAAAATTGTCTATATTGGCTTTGTATAGTTAGACTATACCTTTTACTAAACTAGAGATGAATTTTCTCTAAAAAGTGCAGTGCAGGGTTTGACAGCCTTTTCACAATCCACATTGTTTCAAAGCAGCTTTACAGAAAACCATGATGTCAATGTTTATAATATTAATATTTCCATGCCTTGTAGTTGCATTCAGCAGATTAGGGCTGGGTGATAATATACAGTAGTTTACATTATGCAATAATTTAAACAATCAAGCAGTTAAGACTTGCTATATAGTTCATGTCACTTTAACTGCTGTCCTAATGTACACATAGTGTTTGCAAATAAATATTTTTTTTTAAAATGAATGGCTATTGTCCCATCAATAAACACTTTTTATGACCTGAACAGATTGTTAAAGGTGAAGTGTGTAATTTTTAGGCACTAGCATCAATAAAAGAAACGGCAAAATAATGATTGTTTTCAAACAGGTTTCCTCAACTTTAACATTTTAGTTATCTTCTTAAACTTGTTATATCAGACAGGTGACGTGAATGTTTTTAAACTAAGGACAACTGATAAATGATGACATGGTCTCTTCAAACAAGTTGGAAGAGGGAGATGTGTAAAAAGCAGATAATGAAAAGAAGGAAGGGAGAGAAAGGAGGTTAAAGGTTGTTTTTGTGTTTTTACAGTCGTGACATTCAGATAGAGATCTGATAAAGACTGTTTACCTGCCTTCGTGAATCTTTAAATCTCTGGATATCCTGTGATAGTGGACAGACAGTTTTACCTTCACACGAATGATTTGAGAGTCTCGTGTGAAGTAACACTTAACATGTTTAAATGAAGGGCTGCGTTACTGAAACTAGAGGTTCAACCCTTACTTAACCCAGTTGAATGTTATCAGTCTGAGTCAGAATGTGGCTCTGCTCCAAAATCTAGTAAACTACGTAAGAAGCATGTTACGAACGCTCCCAGTGAAAGTCTGGTTATGCTGCTTTCTAAAATACTAGCCTGGAAGTCTAATTCGCCATGTGTTTCTTTTATAATAGCATTTTTTTTAACTTTTATGCAGTTTCTTTATTTGCACTACCGGTCAAAAGTTTGAAATGCATTTAGATTTTTTAAATATTTTTGAAAGAAATCTCTTATGGGTGACCGTGATTTCACCAAGTACAACATGTTCCTGGATCAACATCCTTGTTGATCCTGGAACAACATTCCTATCAACCAATCAGAATTGAGGGATAACTTTTCAGGAAATATCAGTTTTAGGCTTAAAATCAGGGTTAGGTGCTTCTACACCCTTGTTAATCAGCTATCATTTCCCTCTGATTTTAGGAATAAATTATGGGTAAGGTTAGGTTTAGGGGTAGGGATTGGGTTAAGTCTGTATTTTTGGACTGTAATGTTGATCCAGGATCAACAAAAGATGTTGGTCCAGGAACATGTCTTACTTGGCAAAATCACGGCGATCATCTCTTATGCTCACCAAGGCTGCATTTATTTGATGAAGGACCGTAATATTGTGAAAAAATATTACAATTTAACATAACTCTTTTCTATTTAAATATATTTTTAAATGTGTTTTATTCCTGTGATGCAAAGCTTAATTTTTGGCGTCATTCCTCCAGTCTTCAGGATCACACGATCAGTGTTGAAAACAGTTGTGCTAAAAATTCTGAAGAAAAAAAAATTGGATCATGGCTTCCACAAAAATATGAAGCAGCACACTGTGTTGAACATTGGTAATAATCAGAAATGGTTACTGAGCAGCAAATCAGCATATTAGAATGATTTCTGAAGGATCATGTGACACTGAAGACTGGAGTAATGATGCTGAAAATTCAGCTTTGATCACAGGAATAAATGACATTTGAACATATATTCACATATAGAAAACACTTATTTAAAATGGTACTGTTTCACAATATTACTGTTTTACTGTATTTATGATTAAATAAATGCAGCCTTGGTGAGCATAAGAGACTTATTTAAAAAAAATATACAAATCTTAATTACTACAACCTTTTGACTGGTAGTGCATGTATAAATGAACTCACACTGCAGCTGCTTGTGTATGCAGTAAACAGCTACTGTAGGTTAATGGTAACCGATGACTCTACCTTCACTGACACAGTAAGGTTCTAATTAAAGTTCCCAGAGTTCCCAACAGACGACCCCCAAAGCTCATTGTCATCTCCTCGCATCTGTTAAAAGACAGCTTTACAGTCGAAGTCATTGTGAAAATGTGTGTGGTTGCTGGTGCCATTGTGTCAATGTTATGAATGTAGGCCAGTTTTTTTTTTTTTTTTTCCTTTTACAGCCCTGTCCGGGTTTATGGACATTTCCTTTTGTGCAAGAAAACAATGCATGCTTACTCATCATAACCTGGGATTTCTTGCTGGAACTAAAATGGGGATTTTTTTTGTTGTTGCTGGAAATAGATTAAGGGTGCACAGATGACCTAACAATGCTTCTTACCCTAAAATCCTTCTTGAAGGGATACTTCACTCAAAAAAGAATGAAAAGAAAATGTAAAAAAATGACTATGGAAGTCAATGGGGCCCATCAACAGTTTACCAGAAGAAAGAAATTCATATCGGACTATCTGATATAAACACAGTCTTCATGAAAGTACTTAAACACTTTTGAACGTGAATTTCATTGCATTAGATAACAAAGTATCAAAGTAAGTGACATTTGCAAACAAATGATCCTCGAGCTTGTACTCAACAAATGTTACAAAATTTTGTAATATGTTTTTTTGAACTTGAGAAGGAATTTTAATTAAACATTTTTAAATTTCTTTCAAATCATTTTTATTTCATTACTTAAACAACTTTTATCAATAGCTTTGTGTTTTTCTAATTCATTGAATGTTCCTTAATTATTTTAGAATTTTATTTATTGTATTTTTTTGTGCCTTTTTTAAATCTTTATATATATTTTTTTATTTTTTATAATGCGATTTTCCTATTCATTTTATATATTTAAATGATTTTGGAATTTACTTTTTACATTTTGATTATTTTTCTCTCTCTCGTCTACTTTTTGTGCTCATATGAAGTACTTTAAATGACATTTTGTTTAAAATTGTGCTATATAAATATATTTATCTAATTAATTTCCTATAATATGAAACCTAAAAATATTGTTTTGTGAAATGTTTTGCTTGAAACATGCACATTTTATATTTCTTCAACATAAATGCCATTTGGTGTGATATATCTAATGCAATGACATTCACACATTTCTTAAGTGTCTCAAGTGTCCACATACTTTTAAGGCCCTTCTTTGGCCTTTTGGAGCACATCTTTAAACTTGCTCTGACTCAGAGCGCTTTGAATCTGTCATTTAGTTAAGTATATCTGCTTCAGTGCTTGTGTGTGGATCCAAGTAATATAATATGTGACTGGACTCCAAGGTCCTGATCCTGGGAAAGTTACCGTGGCTTTGGGAATAGAAACTATGTTGATGAACTTCTGAGATGAAGCAAATATATTTCACTCTGCCTTAATATTCCGAGATTATTTTCCCTCGGCAGTCCGTGATAAATCTGATTGGCATCTGTGCTGTCCGATGGGAAAAAGAGCTGTGTGGAATATTCAGGCTTTGAGAAACGAGGCTAGGGTTTATAAATATTCCCTCTCCTGGTTCTCACGACTTCAGATAGAAAACATAGTGGAGTTGCACATGTTGGAGACATAAATCAGTGTTTTCCTGGTTACGAGATACTGTTGTGGGCATCCGTTGAAATGACATCTGGTGCCGTGACCCTGCCGATAATTCCCACTGACTTCCTGTATCCGGACAGCAAGCGGAAGATTATCCAGCGTCACTGAATCCAGAACATGTGTTTGACGTTTTATGATTAGTCAGTCTCTTGATGTGGAAACCCTTCTGATGTGTTGTACACTAGCTATGTCGATTTTCATATTCATAACTGTGTGTATCGCAGAAGTACTGATGAACTTACACGTTGCCTGTTTCCTATTATGAAAGCATTTTCCTTTTCGTTCCCATGGAAAATTCAACAAAAGACATGCACTAGATGATTTGTTTTGATGTGTGTTACCAAGCCAGCAATCTGGGGCCAATAATAACGCTGTTGTTTGTGTTTCAGTGGCGATGCCGTTCATCATAATGACCATCATGTTCCGGCCGTACCAGCGTGGCGTTTACTGCGATGACGAGACCATCCGTTACCCCTACAGACCAGACACCATCTCTCACAAAATGATGGCGGCCGTTACCATTTCCTGCTCCATCATTATCGTGAGTCTACATCAATCAATCAGCTGAGCAAACCCTTAAAGGAGTAGTTCACCCAAAAATGAAAATTAGCTGAAAATGTACTCCCCCCTCAGGCCATCCAAGATGTAGATGAGTTCGGTTCTTCATCAAATTTGGAGAAGTTTAGCATTACATCACATGCTCACCAATGGATCATCTGCAGTGAATGGGTGCCGTCAGAATGAGAGTCTAAACAGCTGATAAAAACATCACAATAATCCACACCACTCCATTAAATAATGTCTTATGAAGCGAAAACCTGTGTTTGTAAGAAACAAATCCAAACTGTTTTGACTCTCATCCTGACGGCACCCATTCACTGCAGAGGATCCATTAGTGAGCAAGTGATGTAATGCTACATTTCTCCAAATCTGTTCCTATGAAGAAACAGAGTTTTCATCTACATCTTTTCAGCAGATTTTCATTTTTGGCTGATATTTTCCTTTAAATGTCTGTGAGTGATGCAAAAATGTTAATACTCTATTGCAGGGGTGTCCAAACCCATTCTTGGAGGGCCACTATCCTGCAAAGTTTAGCTCCATCCCTTATCAAGCACACCTGAACCAGCAAATCAAGGTCTTCAGACTCACTAGAAACTTCTAGGCAAGTGTGTTGTAGCTGGTTCTAGCTCAAATCTGCTAGAGATTGGCTCTATTGGACACCCCGCTCTATTGTATTTGAAGAAAATGTAGTACCTATACTAAACCTAACCAACTGTGTTTACAAAAGCAAATGTGAGATAAACCACTTTTTATGAAGCAGCCTGCTACGGCTAGTCTTTGAGCTGAGTGTTGTGACTTCAGAATTGTAGTGCTGTACCGGGTGAGTTACCAAGCAAGCTTACTATGTCAGAAAAGCCATTCATATAAGGCTGATGAAGTGATGCAAATGTCAAGATGTATTAGTTTACAAGTCATACACTATGGTAAAAGCGTTTTGAGGTCATAACATAGTTTTGTGCAAGGAACCTCATTAAAATAAGTTTTTATTAGTCAATATTCTGCCCCTTTAATCATAATTTGTCTGGAGATGAATAAAAATGGCTGGTGTTTTACTGCCACTAGTGATTATTCAGCTGGAAACTGGAGTGAATTGTATGTATAGGCATGTTTGTGGTGTTTTGTAACAATTAAGTAGATGTTTTTATGTAATGTTGGAAAAAGTGGATTGTGACTGTGTCTGTCAAGCTTCAAAAAGGACAAAAAGATACCATAAAAGTAGTCTAGAACACCAAAAGAATCAGACTAATGTGTTTCATGAGTTCAACTCAGTGATTCATATAGCTTTTTCTTTGAAAAACAATTTAAATATCTGTCCATTCCTCTCACAAAGCTCTCATATGAGTTGGAATATAATGCATAATTCAATATGAACTACTTTGAGTATTGAGTGTGACAGATGTAACCTTAATTAATAGTGGCCACATTTTTACCTTTATGTACTAAAGATGAAAGAAAGAAAGTCATACAGGTTTGAAAGAAAATGAGGGTGACTAAATAACCACAGAATTAACATTTGTGTGTGAACTGTTCATTTAAGAAGCATCATAAATAGCTGAAAGGATTTGGCGTTGAACTACTCGTGGGAACCTGAATGAAATGAATTTTATGTGGTGTAATTTGGTTGCGAAAACATGCAGGTTGGTTTGGTATTGTGTCCACATTTTCTAAGAGAACATTGTGATTCGTTCAACATGATTCATCAGCCAGAGTACAATTCAAAACATGAGTCATCTACACCACACAGACTCAGACTCTCATTACTAGCAATGAGTCTTAAGGCAAGTTTATGTAGCACATTTGATACACAATGGTCAAAAGTGTGTTGCATAACACATAGGTACATACAAAATTAAATGAATTAAAAATGTTTGAACTATTGCAATGTGCCAATATTTAGTCATGCATTAGTATTACTACACTCTTAAAAATAAAGGTTTAAAAAAAGGGCCCCCTTTAATGTGTATTCATGGAACCATAGATGCTAATAAAGAAGCTTTATTTTTAAGAGTGTATTGCTCAAGGTTCAAATTATTAACCCTAAGAAACGTTAAACATGAAAATCTTGTTTTCTCACTTGCAGATCACTTCTGGAGAGGCCTACCTGGTCTACACCAAACGTCTCTATTCCAATTCAGACTTCAACCAGTACGCTGCGGCGCTCTATAAAGTGGTGGGGACGTTTCTGTTCGGCGCGTGTGTGAGCCAGTCTCTGACCGATATGGCCAAGTACACCATCGGACGCTTGAGGCCCAACTTTATCGCGGTGTGCGCTCCAGAAGTGTGCGAGGGCTACATGCTGGAGATCAACTGCACGGGAAGCTTTCGCAACGTGACCGAATCCAGGTACAGAAGCAGGGGACGGGAAGGGCCCGTGTCAGGGGTCGTGAACTGCTAACACTACTTCCTGTACTTGTTTATATTTGTCACTTGTTGTTTCACTTCCTGTTTGTCCAGTACATTGGTGCTTTCTTAGGATTTTACCTTTGCAGTGCAAATGTCACATGTCCTCAAGAGACCTGAAATAATCATAGATTTGATTATACATGCACTAGAAAGTATGACGTGTGGTCACTGGTCAGGCACATCTTTTTTTCTGTAAAGGAAATATTTGAGTCCTGTAATGCTGATTTGTCAAATTATTATTTTTTTAATTCTGATTTGAAATATATTATTATTAATAGTAGTAGTAATCCTTCTCATTTTAAAGTATAGATTGAAATAGATTTAAATGTTTGTTTTTTTTATTTGCGTCTAATTACTTTCTCCTCATTTTTAACATTTTCCGAATTTCTTCATCAGTGTTGTTATTGTTAACTAAACGTAATAAAAACATGTTTTTGGTATTTAAAATAATGCTGAAATAAAATAAAATATAAATATTAGCTGAAAAACTTAAAAACAACTTGAATGAAAATTAGATATGTTATTTTGGCAACTAACCGAAATAGGGCAAAATTGAAGTAATTACTAAAACTGAAATTAAAGTAAGGCTTAAAAAAAAAAGCTTATAACAAAAGGACTAAGACTTGTGCTTAAATGAAAATTATATAAAAATAATAAAATATAAAAAAGCTAATTTTAAATATTCATAAATACTATAATAAATATGAATATAATAGGAAATATAATAATGAAATAATAATAATTATAATAATAATACATACATATAATAAATAATACTTAAATAACCCTTTTAACCAAGAATTGCGGTTATCAATATCGCTGTCACAACCAATATGCTGAATATTATAGGTGATAATGTTTATTAAAAAATATAACAATAATAATAATAATATTTGGTTATGATATAAATGAAAAAAATGCCATCTCTGACCCTTTTAACCAAGAATTGCGGTTATCAATATCGCTGTCACAACCAATATGCTGAATATTATCGGTGATAATGTTTATAAAAAAATATAACAATAATAATAATAATATTTGGTTATGATATAAATGAAAAAAATGCCATCTCTGAGAGTTGAAGAATACATTTTTTGGATTTTTACATCACGTATCACTAAACTGATTTTCTCAGAGTGGGTTTAAGGTTAGTTGGTTTAGGTTTTATTACTTTTATATGAATTTCTTATTCGTATTATTACCAAACGGATCAGTAAAAATTCACATCATCGCACATCATACCAGAAGGCACATGGAGGTCAAGGCTATTATGAACATGTGATAAATCTTTTAACACAGATGAAATCTTGAAACGTAATATGAAAGTGAAGAATGGCCCATAAATGTGTCACTCTATATGATTCGTGGACTGTGATAATGATTCTTTTTCCTTTCTGCTTGTATCGTTGTCTTGTATCTTGTATTCCTCCGTGGATTGTGTTGCGCCAGGCTGTCGTTCTACTCCGGTCACTCCTCCTTCGGGATGTACTGCATGTTGTTTCTGGCGGTGAGTTGTCACAGTTGTCTTCCTCTCCTGCAATCACGCTGACACAGAAGACTTGTGTAGACAGATAAAGGAGAGCTCTCAGAGCAACAGGAAACACTGCGGAGACAATAAAATACGACCGCAAACATTCCCAATGTCTCGAGCTTTAAATCACGACAGTATACGGTGCTTAAAGGAACAGTACACCCAATAATTATAGCTCTCGTATCGTTTACTCACCCTCGTGCTATTTCAAACCTGCGTGATGTTTTCTCTTCACAGCATGCACAACTTTTTTTTTCTCTTTCTGAAATTTCTCATTATGTGTTCCAAAAAAGAAAGTCATACAGGTTTGGAGCGACATGATGGAGAATTAATAGTTTTCTGGCTGCTTCACTCATGTTCAGACGTGTCTGTATTTGTCACAAGGTGCTTTCCTGTAACTTTTAAGGAATTGCAATGGCTTGCATTCGTTTTCCTGCTATTGAACCCTCAAGACTGATTTTGCATTTTTCCCCCCCCTTATTCTCTTAAAGTATTGTGTAATCCGTTGTTGTTTTTCCTGGTTTTTCCTCTGTAGCTTTATGTACAGGCACGTATGGCATCCAAGTGGGCCCGCCTCCTCCGGCCCACAATTCAGTTCTTCCTGGTGGCCTTTGCCATTTATGTGGGATACACGCGTGTGTCTGACTACAAGCACCACTGGAGCGACGTGGTGGTGGGTCTCCTGCAAGGGGCGCTGATCGCAGTCCTCACGGTGAGTGCGGTGAATCTCATGAAATCTCTTGTTCGGGTCACATTTCACCACAAAAAAACAACAAATTATAAAATAATTAGAATTTGCATATAAAGAAAATAAATCCTGTTTTAGGAACATTGGGATACTGTGAAATATGTCCATGATTAAGCCCAAACTAAGCTTAAAAAATACTGAAAAATATATGTACGTTTTATATATATATATATATATTATATATATATATATATATATGTATATGTATAAATATACGTATATGTATATGTATGTAGGTATCTAAAAAAGTTATGTGCTCAAGAATGAGAAAATGAGAATTTTTTTCATTAACATTTTATTGATGTTATAAAATAAAAAATTTTTTTAATGTTATAAAAAATAATTTATAATAATTTTTAGCAGTCATTGGGATAAAAAGGTCTATATTTTGTATTATTTATGTACTATTTATTTAGAAGTTCTTCACCAGGAATTTGAAAATTAAAACACTTTTTCAAATGTTCAAATTGCATATAAAGAAAATAAATCCTGTTTTAGGAACATTGGGATACTGTGAAATATGTCCATGATTAAGCCCAAACTAAGCTTAAAAAATACTGAAAAATATATGTACGTTTTATATATATATATATATATATATATATATATATATATATGGGATAAAAAGGTCTATATTTTGTATTATTTATGTACTATTTATTTAGAAGTTCTTCACCAGGAATTTGAAAATTAAAACACTTTTTCAAATGTTCAAATTTTAACAAATTTTTTTTTTTTCCAAATGTTTTTAAAAATATACAGTCAAAATGTAAAAATCATAATGATCCTAAATACATTGGAAACATGATCTTTATGTAAATAAAATTTATATTAATCATTTTATGTTAAATTCAATTGAATTTTAAATTATTTGTTTTTTGGTAAAGTTTTAGAAAAGAGATTTTAAGACTTTTTATTTTCGTGGTTAAAGGTTAAATAAAAAACACATTATAAATAAATGGTGAATAATATTATAAATGAGTAAATAAAATAAACAGAGAAAATAAAATAAAGTATATATAATATATTTAAATATAGGATATATAATATAATAAAGTGTGTGTGCATATATATATATA